TTTGTATTCGTAGGACACTCACATGTCTTGGACTACAATGTACTGGTGTGGCACCAGGCCATCAATCCCATTGTGCCTCCCCTCCCACCAGTCTTCAGACGCCCGTTGATACAGCAGCAGGGAGGCGCCCTTCTTGAAAGACAACTCTCGAGAAGAGCGCCCGACGTAGTCAAACTTGGCGATGGCTTCAATAGGCTCGCCCTCTGTCAAGAGAAAGAGGATTAGTCAGGTTAAGTACATGTCAGATATGGCAAAGTCATCAAGTACAGATGGTTGTTATTTCATGTGCAGACGTTTCTAACGACCGATTAAAGTGCTGTCGACTTGGGAAATAAAAATCTAATTTTGGAAACAAATGCACTTACAAATACAGGCTGGCTACAATTCAAGGGAGTCGAACACCGACATGTTTGTACACGTGAATATGCAGTTGATGCGAGTGCACATGGAGTGCGAGTAAGCTAAGCTGAGTTCCAGTCAATAGTAACCCAGCTTTACAACACCAGGCCAGAGCCACTATGGGCCCTGAGGAGCTTTAGCAGGACATGTATAGAAGCTTTTGAGAGGAGATCTATGCGACTCAGGGGCACGGTATGGATCATCAGACTGGGGTGATTACTACTCAATAATTGTACAAATAGAGCTCTGGATCACTGACAACAGTGAACAGTGAAAAGTTACCGCGTAAAACACCAGCCAGTGGTCGACTGAACAATTATTATTATTAGTTTATTTTAATTTACTTGTACACATGTAACTATTTGCGTTCCCCGAATACAATCTGAAGAGAACAACATCTAGAGTTGACTTTACTTTTCAAAAAAAGGCACAGTCTCCGAGCCAATATGTATGCACTACAGCAACACGAGTCTAAAAATAGCTTCTTTATTCCTCCCTCGCTCCTACCTCTGCTTTCCTGCCAGCTCACTTTCTCGCTTCAAGTCAGATAGGGGGTCCCTGGACAGACGTAACACAGGCTCTATATATACGCTGGTAGGAAGGCAACAGAGTAAACGTCTGAAACCTGTCTCAGCTGTGACAACTCATCGTGACATACTGCATCTTTCTCAGGAGTGGGAGATTAATTTCAAGATGAGAATCCCGTGTGCTAAAGAAAATATAGGCTTGATTGTGGAAAGACTCGTGAGCTCTGCATTTCTTCCAGTGTCCTATTTTATCTCATGTATTCTCGTTGAGTTTCATCCCACCTTTAACTTGCTACTGTGTTTGCTTCACTGGGTTGTCAGTTTTTGGCGTGGCTCCAATTAAATGTGACAAGCAGGAATTTACAGTTTGAATTAATTGGACTGCACTACAGTGGACGAGGCTGTTAATAAAGCAGACGGCACAGTGCAGGGGAATTCTCTTCCTTCCTCTACTTTCTTCATCCCTTTCAGTCACGTCAATAAGCTGATCCTGCGATCTGTAAATGTGTATCCGAGGCACACGCATGCGAGCGCTGCAGGGACGTGACTGAAGCTGGAAGCAGCAGGCTACAAACTCAAAATCTCAGTGCGGGTAACGGATTCCCTTTGTCATGTCGTGCAATTATAACTGAGAATCTTTCAGAACCGACTGAACTCGGTTGCACACGTACATGTACACACCCTCCCACGCTGAGACTGGAGCTAAAGAAATGCTGAACCATGAGAGTTGGAGGCATGTGGTCCAAGAGATAGAAACTGTCAGATGTCTTGCACACGCCAGTGGAGCGCGGTTGGTGTGGATGTTGCTTACACCAGTGTTCCCACAGAGAAATGGGGCAGCAGAAGCCTGGTTTGATATGTTTTTAGGATCAATGGCACTAAAGGAGGCTTCTTTTCCCCCACTACACATCATCATAATGATGTTAATAATCGCACGCTCTTGCTGTTACAAAATAAACAGCAGACACTGCGGCGAACTTGGGGGGGAAAAAGAAAAGAAACATGGCTCTTTATAGGAAAACTGATTACGCTCTGCAAAGTAAAACAATACATTCCCCTTTAACATGTACAATACAGCCAGCAGGTTCACGTGACATCGAGGGCATCCTGGTATATTCCTGTAACTGCCATAATCAATGAGTCATTTAGTTCATTTCTGACCTTGTGGGAAATTTACCAGCAGACACAACATTCATGTTGCCACTCTAAAAACAGTTAAGCTCCTCGCGTGACGCCCATCATCTCAAATGTCACGCGTGTCGCACAGTGTCAAATGTCACAACGCCCAGTTTGTGCCTCCCATATGTTAACATTATTGCTGCTTCAACTGTGTCCTATAGGGGAAAAACTTTAATAATTTAAGATTGATTTCAAAGCGGTCTTTGCTTAGCAGGTTAATAAAAAGCACAAACTGTTGCAGAGATCAAAGGAAATGTGATTAGTTTTACTTCAACTCTTGTTTCTTTATATTTCGCTTCCAGAGAGCAACACATTATTGTCACTTTTTAAAGTGGTCTTGAGTGTTTCTCCAGGGATGAACCAGTGTTGTGTCTACACATAACAGATAACTTGGGAAAGAACCAATTTTAAATGGTATCTTTAGGCATTGTGTTACTAGTAAAACACAATTCGCTCCCTGGCCTGGAATACTATTTTTGCCTCGACAAGGCGAGTTCCAAGAAGCCGTTAGCTGAAACTTGGCATTATCTCAGCATGGTGGAAACTGGGGGATTAAAAACAGAAGTGGCAGGCCTAAAAATAAACCAGCTACAGTAGATGAACAGTATCTGAAAGTCACATCCTGAAGAAACTTTAGGATGTGACTGCACCTTCAGTTAATCCCCCTACTGTTCTCTGAAAATTCAGCAGAAAAGATGTGGAAGGGTGGCTGTAGAGAAGCCAATCTTAAGGAGGGGAAACTGAGAGAAAAGGGTGAGGTAGGCCAAATTAGACAAGAACTAGCCTTGATGTTTGGTTCCAATCATTGTGAGTATTAGGGCTGTGCGATATGACCAAAATATCCCGATATTAAGACATCTATCGTCCGACAACGATATAAATCACAAAAATGTAACATTTTCTGTAAATTCTGTGAATCTCGGGCAGCTCGACTTGCGTGAAGTGTTTCCAGCTGCGCGTCATGTAGCTGGAGTCGAGTGTTTTAACCGATGGATGAAACGACACATTTTTAGACATAAGTTGTAACGGCCGCCGTTCTGTCCCAAGCTTCGAAAAAATAATTCTTCCACTTCTTAATGTGAGCTGTTCAGATTTATTTCTGACTCGTACATACAAACAAAAGATGTCATGGTCAAAAAACTATTTTGCTGCTACAGCGCACATTTCCATTGCCGTCCTGGCTCACTCTAACCTGCTACCA